CCAGGTTGGCCGGGGCTGTGAGCAACCTGCTGTGGTTCAAGGTGTCCCTGCTCCTGCAGGGGGGTTGGGCTGGGTGACCTCTAGGGGTCCCTTCCCACCCAAACCATTCCATGATTCTATGATTCCATGGGCAGGGCGTGTCGCTAGGGATGGTGCCACTCAACTCCCAGGCTTTATCGAATCCAACAGCACCACAGATGGGGGCACCCTACGTGGCAGACAGGATGCTAAGAGCGCTCTGAGGCACAAACCAACCTGAGGACGAGGTTCGGAAGTAACGAGAGAGGATTAAAGTCCGCTACAGAGCTAAAGCGGGGCTGTGGGACGCGAAGAAGTTCTCAGGAGGTCCAGTGACTGGGAGCAGCTGTGTTGTGGAAGGCTCAGCGGGCTAAAAGCTTGAAAGGGAGGCACAGTGCCACAGCGGCGGCCTTTCCCCTGCCTTTCCCTGCCTGCCCGCGCCATTTCCCCGGGGGCCGCTGCCTCCCGCGGCGCCACCCCTGCAACACCGCCCTTCGCTCGCCAGGCGGCAGCAGTGAGCCCGGGCGAGTTCCCCAGTGCGCGGGCGGCGCCGCCCCGGCAGTAGCCCCTTCTGGGCGGTGTGGTACCTTTTGAAGGTGTCATGGGGCCTGAGCAGACACCCTAGGTGGCACAGGGGGCAAAGTGTTCTTTTGGGCACAAAGAGGGCCATAGGAGAAGTTCTGAGGGAACAAGACGGGTCCCAAGCGTGCTCGAGGGGAGTATGGGTGCCCTCAGGATACATCAGGATGAGGAGCAGAGGGATCCTGGGGGAGCCAGCAACAAAAGATGGCTCGGGGACGTGGTGAAGAACGTGGGAGGGGATCTGAGCAGAGTACAGATGTCCTTAGGAACCAAAAAAAAAAAAAAAAAACACCCACCAAAAAAATAGTCTGGGGCACAAGAAAGGCTTCAGGAGGCAACGTCTGCTGAGGAGCAGAAGGGTCCCGAGGGGGTCAGGGATGTGAAACAGCGATTAGGGTTCTCTAGGCCTTGCAGGTGCATGGGGGCCCCCGCTGCCCCTTCTCCTGGGCCTTGCAGGGGAAAGAGGGAGAGGCAGACAGGTAAAGCCATGGGGGGCTGGGTAAAGAGAGATGGGGAGAGGAAGGATCAAGAGTAGGACAGAAGTGACGCAGAGCAGCAGCAAGGGACAGAAAGACTAGACGAGGGACGGACACCTAGACTGAGCATCACTTTTATGCCACCACAGGCCACCTCCACACTTCAATGGGAGCTGAGCTGTCATTTAAGGCACAGCAGCGGCCTGGGGCTCCAACATCTCTAGCCTAGGATGGCAACGCTTTCTGTTCGTGCTCTATTTATGGTGCACAAAGAGAAAATTCTATTATCCGAAAACAACCTTCCTTTCCTGCTCTCTTCATATCAAACCTCAATTATCCGATCAATTATTTTTGATTTATAATTAAAACCCCTTGTGTGTTAAGCGGGCATCACATTTCAGTTTCGGAGGAACAAACGAGACGGCAGCCCTTCATCGCCGGCGTCTCAGATGCAGGTAAGGACACACCCGTCCTCACAGCTTCATCGCACCCCTTAGAAGCTCAAGGTGTTGAAAGTGGATTCTCTCTTTCACAGAATCACAGAATCGCAAGGGTTGGAAGGGACCTCAGGAGATCATCTAGTCCAACCCCCCTGCTCAAGCAGGCTCTCCTAGAGCATGCTACACAGGACTTCATCCAGGCGGGCTTTGAATATCTCCAGAGAAGGAGACTCCACAACCTCCCTGGGCAGCCTGTTCCAGTGCTCTGCCACCCTCAGAGTGAAGAAGTTCTTCCTCATATTCAACTGAAACCTCTTAGGACTAGCTTATTAATGAAGAGCACTGTCTATCTCTGTGTAGACAAGTCAACTCTATATATCCTGGACATAAATCCAGTGCTCAGCAGATAAAGAGAAGGCAAGCCAAATTAATTGCTGGAAAAATACCTGTAAGGTGAGTGAATACAAAAGAGCCTGAGGATCATCAATAGACAGTGACAGACACAAGCTGTCTCTGCAGCCCTTCTACATTGCTTGGGCTGTTCAAATGCTAGATAAGTGTCTGAGATTTGGTGGTGAAAGAGCTGATGTTTGAAAAATAGGTAAATGAATTACATATCACTCCATTAAAAACAAATTTGAAATTACATAGCTGCACAGTTCCTTTACTGCCTTTTAAGCCCCTCACGAAACACATTGCCAAAGACTCTAGAAACAACAAATTAGTAGCCGTAAACTTTATTATTTTTGAAAAATGGAATGTTTCACTAACAGAAACTTGAAGTGATGTTTGACCAAGAACATGTTTATTACAAAAAAAAAAACCAAAAACAAACCACCAAGTTGACATAGTATTTGGCTACAATGCAGCAGCAGTCTTGCTTTTTGTAATCACAAATTCAAGGTGACCCTGGTTAATAAAATTTACCACCATTGTCATCTGGCATTAAAAAAAAAAAATATATATATATGTATGTATATATATATAGTGCTTTCAATAGCGGCGGGTAAAACGGGGTTCAGTCGGTCTGTTTGTCCGCTCTTGGCCTGCAAACACTCCCTGTATTCCGCTACTCTGCGCCATCTGGCTCTGGTTTCCAACTTGTGTGAAGCCTCCACGCCTAAAAACAAGACCAGACAAACTGAAAATCGCTCCGAAAAGTTACTACTACTGCCGTAACTCTGAGAAAAGGTGTTTGCCTAAGCTTTTTTCTACTTGCCAATCCATAATTAGGTAGAGGCTGAAAGTATTATTTTTCCACAATTGACAGAGGAATTTCTTCCTTTATACAGATCAGTCAACTATTATAAAAACATTATAAGCACTCTAACAAAGCTTCTTACCCCGACATCCCTCCTCGATTCATCACATGGCCTGGTCCTGACTGACCAGGCATGCTTCTATCACCACCTAATTTAAAAAAAAAAAAAAAAAAAACAAACAAAAAAGACAAACAGACTTTTGTGTTTTCCTAATAAAAAAGGCACCTTGTTCCCCCAATTTTATTTTCATTCTCAGCAATGCTGTAAAGCTCCATAGGAATTTTAACTACCGCTAGAAGTTCAGCAGCAGTAATTCATAGAAAAAACCACGATCACACTGGTAAGCAGCAAGTGTACCTTGCCATCTCTCATGATCCCGTCCCATCATTCCTCCATCCACATTTCCCTGCCATGAACGATCTTGATGCCCCTCTAACTTTCGACCATGATCTCCCCAGTCACGTCCATCTCTTAAAAAAATAAAAGAACATCTTCTAGGTGTGTCCCTTACCCATTTAGCAGCACAGGGTAAAGCCTAACGCCGTACCCCACACAGAAGTGTATTCAGTTGTTAGTCGAGCTGTAGCTATAGCCACCCAACCACCGCAACAGAAACTGGTCAAAGAGAACGAGAAACTTGCTGAACAGCGTCCTTCGCACGACAAAGCTAATCTTTTTCTGATCTACAGAGACATAATTAGTACTGCATTGTACTAAAATACCCAAACACGGAACAGTTAATTAACTGCCATTCCTCTGTCTGGGATGTTCATGTAGAACTGAGCGTTCTGCAGCTGGAACATGCCTAGCTCAACTAGCTGGTTTAAAGCGAAACCGTTACAATTCCAGTTGAGTCTCAGCTCCCCACCCCACTGCTGCAGAGATTCTGACTCCATTTCCTTAAAACGTGGCCCCTAGCCACAAATGAGACTTTGTAGGCGTCTGGTACAGGACTGAATCTCATCTGCAGAAAAGAAAGTTATTTACAAGAGAACCACAGTTATCAGCTGAGCTACGTGAGCAGCACTTCTTTACTCACTACAACACTCCGTTCTCTTGATGCATGAGGGAGCTACACGTGTGAATTCCTTGCGTCTCCAGATGCTCGAAGAAACTATCTGGAGAGAGGGTTCACACTTGTCAAGCTGCTTCCACTGTCACCCTTCAAAGGTTCACTGAGCGTTAAAACTTGTAAGAACCAACAAATCACTTCCCTTACTTCATACGCACTAACCGGGCCTGTGGAGGTATCCCTCGCCCTTCATTCATTCTTCTGTCAGAACCATAGCTACCCCAACTGTCCCGGGAGTGACGATCGGGCCCTCCATGGCGTTCATCTGGGTAATGCTGGAAGGCAAATGGTACAGAGTTATGCTAAGAATCAATACAGGTTTTCTTCCAGGATTGCAAAAATTCAGGTCCTCAGAGGTCGCCTTTCATTGAGCTGTCAGAAAATGAAACAGTAGCCATCTTGTGTTTTACTAGTTCCATTGCTGCTATTGTGCACAGCTCACTCTAGGCATTTGTTTCACAGCACAGATTCTGCTCTACTAGTTGGTGGGAGAAAGCTTTTTGTCTAGTAGGGCACTTTTTTGTCTGGTAGGGCACTTTTTTGTCTGGTAGGGCACTTTTTTTTTGTCCGGTAGGGCACTTTTTTTTTTGTCCGGTAGGGGTTTTTCAAGGCTTACATTCTCACTCCAGATTTTTAATTTTTACATAGAGTATTTGTCCACTTCCTACCTCTCTTCAGAAATGAAAGGTTTTCTATACCACTGTGGTACTGGTTTTCACATCTGTCCCTTTACAGTCATCTGCCTTGTTCCATTATGACACCAGTTATTTTCTACAAACCGCTTGGATAAATGTCAAGAGAAGGGATCCCTCACCAGCTAAGGACAAGATGCTTCAGTAACTGCCTCTTAACACAATACAGACACAGAGATGGTTAACCAGAAAACTTTTTAATCGCCACTACCAGCCTGAAAGATGCCATACCATCGCTCCCATCACTTGGAGGTTTCACCCCGCCCCAATCTGTGGCTACTGCCCTAGCAAGCGGATAACTTAACAACTTACGTTCCGCACGTTAGCACGCAATATCAGTTGCTGCTTGAACATCTGCTCAGTTTAAACCCAGTGGTGGTTGCATTTAAGAACTAGGCAGCATGCGCACTTTCTTTCCGCTTTGGGGTCGGTTTGTTTGGCTTTTTAACTGAAGCGGTTATTTGGGTATAACCCACCTGCCCATCTCGATCTGGTATTCCTCTCGAACTATCTCTTCTGGAACAAACAAGAGAAGTTTCAGTTGAATCAACATGGTAATCATAATTCCAATATCTGTTTGAAATAGCACGTGAAAATTTATCTTCATTAGGCTGTAACTCTGAACGCCAATTTTTTTTTGTGGCAAGATATTCAAATGAGTTCTTACTTCATAGCATAGAAAGAGATCAAAGGTAACATCTATTACTGTGATATGGGTAAGCAAGGCATCACTGAGGCATGGTCAGGTAATCGGTGGTACCAAGGGAGAACACTGAGTGAACCTACCAGTACCAGAAATGAGTTAAAAGCAAAAGTAAAGCAGTATGCTTTCTGCCAAAGATCCTCTGAGAACAAAACAGAAGTCTCGAAAGAACTACACAGGAAGTATTTTTGCACTCTGTGGAAATAAAAATCAGCTGC